GAGTTCGAGGCCAGCCTGGTCTGCAGAGTGGGTTCCAGGACAGCCAGGGCTACACAGAGAAACCCCTTCTCAAAAGAAAGGAAGGGAGGGAGGGAGGGAGGGAGGGAGGGAGGAAGGAAGGAAGGAAGGAAGGAAGGAAGGAAGGAAGGAAGGAAGGAAGGAAGGAAGGAAGGAAGGAAAAAAAGACACCTGAGGTTCACCCCTGGCCTTCACAATCATGTGTACACAAATGCACACGTCCCCACATACCCACACGCACACGCGCGCGCACACACGTACAGGAGGACATACCCTAGAGCAGTGGCTTGGGAAGCCTTCTTGCCCAAGCTGGGACCTAGGCCTCACCTGCTATCTCTCTGCGCAGACAATGGAGGTGGGCAGCAGCAGCCGGGTGCGAGACCTATGTGAGAGCATTGCCACTCGGCTGCAGCTGGCCTCCTTGGATGGCTGCAGTCTCTTCATCAAGATCACAGACAAGGTGAGCAACTTGGGAGGCCAAGGAGTAGAGCAAGATCCTCTTGCCTGAGGAGGCCTCCCGTGACCATCAGACCTCAGCCTGCCCAGAACACTGCTAACCATGCCCTTCAGTGAACAGCTGGGGCTAGGGGGCGGGGTCTTGTGGTCCCACCCCCTGCTGGTCAACCCCAGTGAGCCCCCAGCCCACCCAGCCAAAGCACAGCGTTTCTGGATCCAGCCTCACTGGGTCTCCTCGGAGGATACTCTCCAGAAGCCGCCATACCTGCCTCTGCCTCTTCCCTCAGGTCATCAGCCTGAAGGAGGGAGACTTCTTTTTTGACAGCTTGAGGCAGGTATCTGACTGGGTGAAGAAGAACCGGCCTCAGAAAGAAGGTGAGGGGCATCTCTGTGGAGGGGGGTGGCTGCTTGACGAATCGCTGGCATGGTTCCGGACCCGTCCATCTGCTCTCACTCACCCCCATGTTCCCTAGACATGCAAAGGGCTAACTCCAGGCAGGCAGGGTGAGAGAGATAGCCCAGAGCCCCGCCTCATGGCAGTGGGGGTGGGGGTGGGGGCCCAGGGACATTTCTTACGCAACCCTACACTGCTTGATGAAGATGAGTCAGGAGCCTGGGAGAGGAAGGACACAGGCTTTCCAGGCCAAGAGTCATGAAGGCTAGGAGTGTTCTCTTCAGGACTGAGTCTCTGGAGCCTGCTGGGATAGGCTCAGTGCCCACTGCCACCCCTCTTCCAGGGGCCGCCATGACACTTCCCTACCAGGTGTTGTTCATGCGGAAACTGTGGCTCAACGTGACCCCTGGGAAGGATGTGAACGCAGACACCATACTCCACTACCACCAGGTACCCATCAGGCGGCCCTCTTGAAGTCACAAGGGCCATTGCCAGCCTACCCCAAATCTGTCCTGAGACATGGGAGAGGAAGGGGGCAGGGAAGGGGGCAGGGAGGAACTCTCTTGCCCTAAGCACTTGCAATGAGTGAGCAGGGCCAAGACCCTGAGGGTCGGCAGCTCTGGGGACAAGGTCTACAGTGTGAGCTGGGAAGGGAGAGCGTGCAGAAGGCTGAACCTGATGCACCAGCTTGCAGCTTGGAAGGACAACATCACGTGGACAAAGCCCATGTCCACCACAGCACACTGCCAGGGAGCCCTCACTTAGGACTCTCCCTGAGGTCCTCAGCCTTTGCCCGCTCCAGGGTCCTGTCACCTAAGACCCAGTGTGTCCGCCACTCAGGAGCTCCCCAAGTACCTTCGAGGGTTTCACAAGTGCTCCCGGGAAGACGTTATCCACCTGGCAGGCCTCATCTATAGAGTCCAGTTTGGCAGTGACCGGTCTCAACTGGCTAGTGTCTCAAAGATCCTGAAGGAACTGGTACCTCAGAACCTCACGCGACTGATGTCCTCAGAGGAATGGAAAAAGGTCCTTGACAGGGTCTGACTGGGTTGGGCGGGCTGGTTGGCTTGGGACGTGGGCTGCCTGCACCTGGGCTTTCCCTGCCCTGTCCTTAGGACTTCCAGATAGGTGGGCATTGCTCTGGCCTGAGTCTCAGAGGCCCTGGGTGTCCATGCCCTGTACAGAGGGCCCCATCTGGTCAGGGCAGCCAGCCCAGGTCCTCAGTGACCCTCTTTTCCATCAGAGCCTCCTTCTGGAATGTGACAAATACCAACACAAGACAGTGGCAGAGGCCAAGGTGGACTTCCTGAAGTGGATCTACCGCTGGCCTACCTTTGGGTCTTCCTTCTTTGAGGTGAAGGTAGGCCTTGATCCACACCCAGCCCCTGCTGCCATCCAGGCCCCATTCAGCTGAGTCCTCAGTGCTTACGACAGAGCGTGTGTGTTCTCACTGTAGCCCTAGCGAGCATTTAAAAAGTGGCCACCGGGGAGCTGAGGAGATGTCTCAGTTGACAAAGTGTCTGCCTTGCCAACATAAGGACCTGAGTTGGATCCTCAGAACTCAGGTTGAAACACAACAATAACAAAGCTGGTCATATGCTGCTACCTGCTAGTGACCCTAGTGCTGGGGAGATGGAGAAGGGGATCCCCAGGATTCACTGGCTAGCCGGCCTAGCCTACTTGATGAGCTCCAGGACTGTGAGAGACCTTGTCCCAATATATATATATATACAAACGCACACACATACAATACATATATACATACATACATACAAGCACACACACATACAATACATATATACATGTATACTTACATACAAACAGCCAGTGAGGTGGCTCTGTGGGTTAAGGCAATTGTCACCCAAGTCTGATGACCTGAGTTCAATCCCTGGGACCCCACATGGTGGAAAGAGGAAACTGACTCCCACAGATGTCCACTGACCTCCACTCACCCATGTGCCAATGTAGACACACGCAAATAAACACATGTTTAAAAAGCAATGGCACCCTGAGGAATGACACCCACGATTGACCTCTGACCTCCACACACGGGCACACGTGTGCACAGACCGCACACATGGGCACACATACCCAACCCTGTATACACATGAACACACATACGAATAGAAAGTGGTCCCCTGGCCCCCTAGGCTTGTCTGAGACCATTGTGCCTCTCCCTCCGCAGCAAACCTCTGAGCCTTCCTACCCAGACATCCTCCTCATCGCCATCAACAGACATGGGCTGCTACTCATCCACCCCAAGACCAAGGTAGAGAGCACCAGGGGCTGTGCCGGCTGCACCATCGTCGTCGTCATCGTCACCCAGTCTGGGGGTGGGGGGATGGGGGGGATGCCTGCCTTCCTGCCCGCCCCTCCCTCCCCTGAAGCCTGGCCTCCTGCCAACGGCCTCTCTGTCCCCAGGAACTGCTGAACACCTACCCTTTCACCAAGATCTCCAGCTGGAGTAGCGGCAGCACCTACTTCCACATGGCCCTGGGCAGCCTGGGCCAGGGCAGCCGCCTGCTGTGCGAGACCTCTCTGGTGAGCACAGGCCCCGTCCCCCACCCCTACGCAGCACCCGGAGATGCTGGTGTGTGTTCTCACGACCCATCTCCACGTGGAAGTTACTCACCAAGAGAGACTGCTTGCCCAGGACCAGGCGAAGCCAGCCAAGGCCTGCGGGGAGGTTAGATGCACCCCCAAGGCCGGCAGCCAGCAGTCACGTCCAAAGACTAAGCTGACTCTGGACCATCCCAGCTCCCTCTGGGGAGAGGGTGGGACTCAGCTCCACCAGAGCGAGCCAAGCCCAGCACGGTTTGGGGGGGGGGGAGCTTGTGTTCCTCCTTTCCTCCTGTTCCACCACGACAGCCCCAGTGCTCTCTCTGCACCCACAGCCTCTGACCCCACCCTGTCCTGTCTAGGGCTACAAGATGGATGACCTGCTGACCTCATACGTCCAGCAGCTCATGAGTGTGGTGAACAAACAGCGGGGCCCCAGGGCCCCCGCCCTGGCCAACCCCTAACAGGTCCTGTCTGCACCCAGCCCTCCAGGCCGGGCTTCCATCCCCTTCTCAGCACACGAGATCACCCCCCCACCCCGCCCTTGCCCCCTACCCACCCACCCACCCCCCACCCCTGGTGTTCACTGCAGAGGCCAAGGAAGGTCTCAAGCCTCCTGGCAGGTGATTGGCAGCCCCCCCCTGAATTCACAATAAAAATTCACCTACCAGGAGGGAGTGTGTGTCTCTGAGGGGAAGGGTGGGTGCCAGGCGGGCAGCCTCCAATCTGGGGGTGGGGCGCGGCTCTCTACCCACCAGAGGGTCTAATCCAGATAAAGCAAAGGGTACCGTGACTCTTCCCAAAACCAGATTGTTGGGGCCCATCTAGGCTTCCTAGTGGCTTTACCCAGCAGGACTGCATGAGAGGATGATTTGATCACAGGCCTGAGTACCGGGTGTTTGGAAGGGTCTACACTTGGCTGTACCTAGCTAAGGGGAGAGGTTCTTTGGCATTGTTATAAAAAGCCCTTTGGAATAAAGTTCTGGGCCGGATAAGGATCCAGGCCCACTCGAGGCTGGATCCTGTGTTTCTGTTTCTCTCCCCTCTTTATTTCTTCCTAAGTCTCTCATCCCTCACTCCTCAAGAGTCGCTGGGATAAATAAATGTGGGATCTGGTCCCCCGCCCCAGATGACAACCATACTCTCCAGGCATGACTTCATCTTCGTTTCCTCCTTCTTCCACACACACCCTCCCCACTCCCTCCACCGCTCTCTCTTCTTTCTTGTTCTCAGCCTGGGGAGAGGGTGTCCCTGGAGACCTTGCTTCCTGGGCCTCTGCACAGGTTTTTTTCCTTCCTCGTGGGTCACCAAGGATGCCTGCTGTGCTCCCAGGAAGGCCAGGTGGAAGGCACATGTCAGTGTCAGTACACAGGGCCGCTGCCACCATGCCTGAGGAGTCCTGGCTGGTTTTGTTTATAAATCCTGGTGGCAGCCAACCTGGGAAACCTGAAACTCTCTGGTCTGCCTGTCTAGGGGGGAGGGGGGTCTCTGAGTGTTTGTTGATCATCCCCAGCAGGGGCACCTCTACACCACCCTCCTCCATCCCTCCCACAAATCACACAGGCACACCCAGTGTGTAAATCAGCCTTCATTGTGCAAGTATGTGATGATCCCTTGCAGGTCCGAGCTGGCTGGGGCACTGTGTCCCCCTGGAAGTGGGACCCCAGCCTTGGTGGGCAGCCCAGAGGCTTTCTGCAAGGTCTCCTGAGTAGTGAAGGAAAGGGGAATCTCAGCCCTCCAGCTGGCTCATCCCAGAGGTGGCTGGATTCGCTGATGCAGTGTGAGCACACACGGACGGACGGACAGTAATGTGGTTGAGTAACTGAAGGGCCGCCCCACCCCCACTCCAGAAGCCTCCATGTGCAAGGTGCTGGCCCTAGGGCTGGGACAGCTTCCCAGGCAAGCCCAAGGGTCTCTCTCAGACCGAAACTCTCCCAGGAGAATGGAAAGGACCAGTGTCAGGCTGGGATCTGTGGGCTGAGCAAATGGCAGATAATCCTGAGCCCAGTTGGTTCCTGTCCCTGGAGGCTGCGTGTACAGGAAGAAATGCCTATGAGGCTGGGACAGGTCTCAGCAATAGAAGAAAGTACTATGTAACCCCAAGGTAGACTGGGGACAGACATCCCAGAGGGAGGGGGAGGCGGCCAGCAGGAATTGCAGGGGTGGGGGAGGGCAAAGGTTCTGCGGGCAGGCCAATGGAGGCCGAGGACCTTCAGACGGAGTTGATGTCCACAGACTTGGGCTGGGCCTTGCGTGAGGTCATGTCAGACAGCTTCTTCAGCCTCTTCTTCAGCTCCAGGGGGAACTTTTCATAGCACCTTTTACACACAGGCTTCATATCGAACTCCACAAACTTGTTCCTGCAGACAGAAAACCCCAGCAGTCTGTGCCCTCCCCACCCTGACCCCAGACAGTAGCCAGAGGCAGAGCAAGGTCCCCTCAGCTGCCAGTCCTCTGTCCTCCACCACCCCCACCCCAGCCTGTCAGAGCCAGGAAACCAGGCTCCGGGGTAAGATGTTAGCCAAAGGGCACTGGGGAAGAGGAGATGAACCGCTAGTCTCGCTTCCCTCATAGAGGCTTCTCTCCAGAACCCTCTGTGGCTCTCTGCTGCTCTTGGAAGCTTGAGCCCCTACCTCACCTCACAATTCCAGTCACCCCCATACCCTTCTAGTCTTCAGGAGGGAGCCAGCCACCCGACAGCTTGCCTTTACATATACTGTTCCCTGAGCCAGAATGTCCTCCTCCAAAGCCCAGGGTTCTTGTAAGTGTGCAACTGCGTCCTTCATCGCTCTCTGGGATCCCTGGTCTCCCTCGTCTGCCTGGCCTGCTCCTGCCTCGCACACACCCAGGGCTTGCCTGACGCCGGAAGTTCAGGGAAAGCAGGCTGGAAAGTCGGGGCTGCAAAGTGCCCACCCACCACTACTCACTTCAGCGTGAGCTTCATGCTGCAGGTGGAGCAGGAGAAGCAGTTCACGCACCAGGCTTTGCCGAGGGCTGACACCACTGTGGGGCCAGATGTGGGATTAGCAAGCCCCGCCCAAGCCAGCTGCAGGCCCAGCTGTGCAAAACCAGAGCCAGATGGGACCTGCAGCTGCTGCGGGACAACCTCCCCTCCACCCACCGCCGCCACCGCCGCCGCCGCCACCACCATCCCCCAACCCACGACCCCTCCCACCCACCACCACCACCCCACCAGCCCCTCCCACCCCCAGGAGAACAGGCTGGCTGGGGAAAAGCAAGGGAGGGAGGGGTTTGGGGACAGAGGCCTCACCGTCACCCTCAATCACGTGATTGCAGTTGTAGCAGACATCCCCAAAAAGCTGTGGACAAAGCAAGCCATCAGTGCCGCCCACAAGCATAACAACCTCCCTCCCACGCCCCCCCCCCCCCCGCCAGTCCTCTCTGAGGATGCCCAGCCTGATAGAAGCACTCCCCGGGAAGGGCCACAGGTTGAGACATTGCTCCCCAAAGCTCCCATTGCTCCCCACGGATGCATCCTACTGAAGCCCTCCTGCAGGACTGAGGGCCAGGGTGGGACCTCATCCCATCAGCCTCTGGGGCCACAATGGCATTCTATCAAATGAAGACACTATTCGGACAGCTGCTCACATGTCTTACACACGGGCTTCAAGACTCTAAGCCGGGACCCAAGCCTGACTTCTGGTGCACACAGTGGACTCTGGGGTGCCTGCAGCACCCCCACTCATATAAGAGGAAAACCCGGAAGCCCAGAGACCCTGGGAAGCATCTTGCTGTGCTTTTCAGCATGTGAGGACACACTGTCCCCCAGAGCCCATAGCCTTTCCCAGGACCTTCTCCAACAGGTCACCCAAGCACCACTTCGAGACATGGAGATGTCTGATCACAGCCCTACTCCTGCTCTCCCAAGGTCCTGAGTCCCCTGACCACCCTCCAGCCCTGGGTCCTGAGGCCCCTGACCACCCTCCAGCCCTGGGTCCCGAGGCCCCTGACCACCCTCCAGCCCTGGGTCCTGAGTCCCCCTGACCACCCTCCAGCCCTGGGTCTTTTCAGGATCCATCCCAGGCCGTACCTGGTTATAGTGGGTCTCACAGTAGGCTAGGCCTTTCTTCTCATAGTGCCTGTGCCCAAGGAATGGCTTCTCGCACTTGGCACAGACAAAGTGCTGAAGGAAAGAAGGAGCGGCTGAGCAACACCAGAGCTGTCCCCAGGGACCCCAGAGGACAGGGGAAGGGGACGGACAAGGCTCACAGCCGGGCAGAAGAACTGGCACCAGTAATGGAAGCTGTAGGAACCCGCTGACCCTTCTGTTTTTACTTTTCTCAAGGCGCGGTCTCATGCAGCCCGGGATGTTTTCAAACCCACTGTGTCGTCAAGGGTGACATTGAACTTCTGATGCTCCATCATGCCTGCTTTGATACAGTACTGGGGTCTGAACTCGGGTCTTTGTGTACATAATGCAAGTACTCTACCATCTGAGCTACACTGCCAGCCTCCTCCTGGTCCCTGAACATATCACAACGATATCCTGGGTCACTGGGATCCTGCTTGGCAAACAGGCCACGTGCCCACATGGGTGGAGCTGCCCTGGCATTTGGTAGATGCCTCCTGCACCACACACACATCCTCCCTGACACACACACACACACACACACACACACACACACACACACACGCCCAGAACCATCTACTGTCCTTTTGAGTGTGTGAGGACACACCATACCCAAAGACAGGGCAGCACATCCCATAGCCTTTTTTAGTAGCCCCTCCCCCCCAGCACTGCTTATGGACATAGAGACGGCCAGGCCACGGGAGGGGCAAGCCTTCTTCCCAAGTTTGTTCATAAGAGTGTGTCAGGGCTCAGAGAGAGGGCAAGAGCTGACCCAGGAGCCCACCAGCTCCCTGTCTGTGTGGGGGTATGTCCCCAGCAGGTCCTTTCGTCCACACCCCACAAGTTGCTCTGGGCAGACCTGTGCCTAACGCCTGACTCTAGCATCTTCCAGATTGCAAAGGGAGCTAAGAGATAAGGTGAATGTGGCTGTCTGACCATGGCCTGTGGGCTCCCTTCTCCTCGCTCCCATAGAGTTCCTGCCCAGAACAAGGGCAGGTTGCCCTCAGAGAAACGTGTTCACAGGGGACCAGCCAGGGCATGGCCTAGGGTGGGGTTCAGACCGTTAACCGGGCCACTTCTTCACGTGAATCTGTGTTCCGCTTACAGGCTTACCTCCACATGCCACTGCTTGCCCAGTGCGTTGACCACCCGGCCCTCAATTGGCCGGCGGCAGGCCCCACAGATGGGGACACCCATCTTGTCATGGCAAGGCAAGCAGAAGAGTTCCCCCTTCAGCTCCCGGGCCTCGGAGGTCAGCTCCTTCCTGGAAGACAGCACAGAGCATCCTCAGTCTGTGACCTTCTGCAGGACCACAGCAACCCTTGGTCCGGGGTCCCGTGCCTGAGGCCCCTGCTCTGGCTGAGCCAGCTTGCTCTGATCTCTGGAGACTTCCTGTGTGCACCCCAGACGGGCCCCAGGGCACAGAATCCCCGCCCAGGCCTGCGGAAAATGCCTGTGTACTGTCCAGCTAGCTTCTTGAGAGAAAGGTCTGTTTCTTCTCATCCCAACCCAACCCCCCCAAACCAGACTGGGTGTCTGGGGCAAGCACAGAAGGGATACAAGGGGCCTGTAGGAGACTGTCAGCTTCTCTCTCTTCAACACAGTCCCAACCTTACACACGCCACTCTTTCCCCTATCACATCTCAACCAGAGTCCCGCAGTCCAGGGGAACAGAGAGCTCGGGAGAGAGGGATTTCCCACCTGATCCCACCTTGCCCCTGAAAGCTCTGTGCCTCACACACTAAGCGCCCTCTGTGCCGACCTTGTTTGCCTCTGCCCTGGGTAGGAATCCCAGCAGCCCTGCTCTGTGACGGCTGTGATTGTCTTTGCCACGCACGGGGCCAGGACTGGGCACCTACCCGCAGTGGGAGCAGCTGAAGTGGTCCGGGTGGTAGGGATCGTTCTTGAACATGAGGGGCTGTTCATCGATGGCTAGGTGGCACCGTTGGCAGATGAATTTGCCCAGGCTCTTGGCCTTCTCCCGGCTGTGGCAAGGCCGGCAGAGGTGCCTGTAGGAGGGAAGAGCCGGGTCAGGAAGGACAATCCTCCCTCCACCTCCTCCCAGAACAGCCATCTCCTGGAAAAGGGAGTCTGGAGCCCTGCTTGCGGCCTCAGTGGCATCTGGGTAATTAGAAGTGAATGAGCCCACGTTTGAGAAAGTTTTCCTATCACAAGACACGGAAACCCACAGGTGAGGCCTCTGAAAGGGATGGCCTCCCACACTCGGCAAAAGACAGGGACCAGGTAAGATGGCTCAGCAGGTAAAGGCGTTTGCCACCAACCCTAACGACCCGAGTTTGAACCCCAGCACCTATATGCTGGAAACCATACACACACACTAGAATACCCGTGTTTGCTGTCTTTGGGAAGTATGTTTCTGCTCCAAGGCTTCCTGGGCCCAGGACATTGTATAATACAGAAGAGACACTTAGCTGCCATTTATTGTCATTTACATTACTTTTCACATGTCTTTTAGTGCACGCTACAGTGACTGTGAGCCTTAGAATACCACAGTGCCGGGCAGGGTCGCCGAATCCATACAGGGCTCCTTCACCCCCTCCTCTGGAGTCGGCCGGATGAAGAAGGGCCCCAGTGCTCACAAGCGCTTTCTGTCCCCAGAGACACAAGCAAAACTGTGTCGCATGGCAGCCCCTGAACCAGCCACTGTCACCACAGAGTCCTTTTTGTGAGGACTTCAGTCATTTCTGATGCTGCTCCTCGCCCTGAGCAACAGCTGTGGTCTTAACAGAGAAGGAAATCAACACAGGTTCTGTTTCCTCATCATTGACGGTACAAAGAATTTAGATTCAGGGTCCCTAGGCAAAGATGCACAAAAGCCCCGATCCAATGCCCCGTGATCCCCATTCCCCACTGGTCACTCCGATAGTATAATCCTACTGAGACCTGGCCCTCCTTCCCAGGCTCCTAAATCCACAGGGGCAATCCCCCACCTGTCACTAGCCTCCTCAGCCAACTGACCATTAGCTCTGTCAGTGTGTGTGTGTGCGTGTGCGTGTGCGTGCGTGTGCGTGTGTGTGTGTGTGTGTGTGTGTGTGTTGTATACATATTTGTGTGTATTGTGCACCTGTGCCTGCAGATGTGTGTGCAGGCATGTGCACATGTGTAGGTCAGAGGTCAATCTCAGGCCAATCTTCAATTATTCTCCTTATTTTATTTATTTATTTATTTTTTTGGCACCGGGTTTCTCACTGAACCTGGGGCTCACCAATTTGCCTAAATTAGCCAGTGTGCTCTAGGGATCTGCCGGTCTCCATCTCCCCAGTGCTAGGGCAATAGACGCATGCTCCCATGCCAGGCTTTTAGATGGGCGCCAGGCATCAGACCTCAAGTTCTCAAGCTTGCCTAACGTAACTGAACCATTTCCCCGGATCTCACCATTACCCTGTTTGGCTGACTTGTCACAGAGATTGACTCAAGAAGCCCCTGGTCAGCGGGATCCTCTGCTACCTCGTGTTGTCTGGAGTTATGCCACAGAGCGTTCGTTACTCTCTACTTGCCCTTAGTTAGGTCTTGTCTTTGGAGCTTAGCACGGTGCTAGGGGCCCGAACAAGGTGTCTGTTGCTACTTGCTAAGCTACCGGCTGTACCTCTGCTGGACCAGGGGTGCCCATCATTGAGAAGTAGCCGTGGACATAATTCTGTGACAAGAGCCAAGCGGACGCTGACCCGGGCCAGCGTCCAAGCACAGGCGGCCCAGGCTCCTCCTACCCCACCACAGGCAGCAACTGTGGCCTGTGGCTGGAGCTTTCACTTCTGTGATCTCTGGAGCCCATCTTCACCCCGGCATCTGTGCTCACCCGAGACGTTTATACAACAGCCGCGGACCCAGGCCCAGTCGCCCACTCTAGCCAGCTCCTCCTCTCTGCCTGTGTCTCTGCCACAGTCATGGCCTTATTCCCCATGGCTCCCTTCTAAATCAGGTGGGCCCTCCTTAGAATCAACACAGCGTTCATCCAATACAGAAGAATTGTGCTTCAAAGCTGTAGGAAGATATGGTGGCTCTCACACCACAGATCAAAGGCGGGAGGACGGTGAGTTTGAGCTAGCCTTGTCTACACCGTGAGACACTGTGTCAAAATCACCAAACCCAAAGGGCGAGAGAGATAGTTCAGTTGACGAAGGGCTTGGTTTTGCAAGCATGAAGTCCCGAGTTCAAACCCCAGAATCCACACTTTAAAAAATTGGACACGGGCCACTGAGATGGCTCAGCAGATAAAGGTGCTTGCCACCAAGCCTGGTGACCTGAGTTCCACATCTGTAGGCTCCACATGTGGAAGGAGAGACCCAACTCTTATAAGTTGTCCTCTGACTTCTACCACATGCCATGGCACACACCCACCCACATAGATAAATAACCATAGTAAGTTATTTTTAAAAGCAGGGCATTGCCAGGTGGTGGTGGCGGCGGCGGCGCACGCCTTTAATCCCAGCACTCGGAAGGCAGAGGCAGGTGAATCTCTGTAAATTCAAGGTCAGTCTGATCTACAAAGTGAGTTCCAGGAGAGCCAACGCTACCCAGAGAAACCCTGTTGAGACAAAAAAACAAAACAAAACAACAACAACAAAAACGTGGATAGCATCTAAGGAAAAAAGTATGTGAGTCCAAGAATGCTCTGCTCGGGGCAGCCAATTCCATGACTAGCAGTGTGAGTCAGCACCCAGATCCTCTGCAAGGGCAGCAAGCACTCTTAACTACTGAGCAGTCTTCCCAGCCTATATATTTTTCTTACTAGTTTCAAAATTATTTTGATTTTTTACTCATGTATGTTTGTGAGTGTATGTCATGTGTACGCATGCCCATGGAAGACAGAAGAAGGTGTTGGAGCCCTTGGAGTCAGAGTTATAAGCAGTTGCAAAACCCAAACGTAGATGCTAGGAACAAAACCCAGGTCCTCTGGAAGAGCAGCCAATGCTCTTAACTACTGAGCCATCTCTCCAGCCCTTCACCTTGTTTTCAGTGACAGGGGCTCCCCCTGGCTTGGAACTTGCCAAGGGCATAGCTGGCCAAAGAGCCCCGACAACCTCCCTGTCTCTACCTCCCCAGTGCTGAGATTACAGGCAAGTGCTACCACACCAAGGGGTTTTCACATGGGTTTTGGGGATCAAATTCAGGTTTTCTTGCTTCCATGGGAAACACTTCATGAGCTATTCCCCCCAACTCCTCAGGCGCCACTTCAGTTCTCTCTAAGATGCTTTAGAGCTTCATGAAGTCACCACCTAGACACTCAGCTGGGTTTCCTGCTTTATGTACACACGTGTGTGAGTGCACACACACACACACACACACACACACATACACACACACACACACACACCTAAGGATTCTCATGTCCTTTAATCCCAGCACTCAGGAAGCAAAGGCAAGCGGATCTCTGTGAGTTGGAGGCCAGCCTGGTCTACAGAGTGAGTTCCAGGACAGCCAGGGATCACAGAGAAACTGTCTTGAAAAACGCCCAAAAAAGAACTCTCATGTCAAAATGCCTCAGGCCAACAGAAAGGACTAAATTCACGTAAAGTCTTACTTCTGCAGTGACATGTGCTAGGGTGGAGAGCCAGGCTCTGCCACTTGCTAGAATTTACCACAGGGTGGATGACCTCACTTCTCTGAACTCTGGCTTCCTCAACTGTCAAACGGGGCAAAATTCCCAGCTGCACAGTGCTGTGTGAAAAGACAGACTGACGAAAGATACCACTGGGCAGGAGGTCCTCTCCAGATGTTAGGCACACATAATTGTAAATGTTTCGCTTGTTTGTTTTTGAGACAGGATCTCATGTAACTCGGGCTGCATTCAAACTCAGCATGTAGTTGAAGATGACCTTGAACGTCTCATCTTCCTGCCTCGGCTTCTCAAGTGCAGGGAACACATGTATCAGTCACCACACAGTTTCTGCAGCATTGCGGGTGGAACCCAGGGTTTTGCCTTCACACTAGGCAAGCACTGTGCTGGCTGAGCTATATGCCCAGCCGTAATTTCAAACAACTTCAACTGAAGTGTCTTTTGAAACTAAGAATTCGGACTTAGCTGTGTTGTATGGCTACCCCATTAGTGATATCAGCCTTGATGAACTTCGATGAATCACAGGCAACGCCCAATGCATCCCAGCTTTGAGCCACCCCAGAAGGAGCAAGCCTTGGTCGGGGAGACACTGAGGCCCTCCTGCTGACCGTGCTCTGCCGAGAAGCCCTCCCAGGCAAAATCCAGGCCTGCTGCGCTGAGCTGCATAGACAGCACCCCCTTTATAAGGCGTCCGCAGCTGTGCAGGGCTCCACATAAAGGCCATGATTTATTCCACACATCCAAACGGGGCCTAATTATACAGGACAGGACACAAGGACCCTACAGCAAGTGTCTGAAAGAATCCCCTCTCATCTGGCCCAAGACTCCTCAGCTCCAACCCTGGCATGCATAACAACACCCCCCCACCCCCACCCCCACCCCCACCAGTAAGCTTGGGATCCTGGCCCGTTGCCATGGTAGCTGACCCCTCCCTACCCCCCTACTAGTAGAAAACCATACCCTTCTGAAATGTCCTGTTGTGTCTATCAATTCCAGCCAAAGACCCCCACCCGGCCCAGCCCTTGCCCACTCCCAGGCTCCCAGGACAGTCACACACTTGGCCTCTGTGGTGCTCTGTGGCCTGGCTGGGGGATGGGGGCATGCACAATCTGAGGATACACTGGAATATTCAGTACGTGCTCCGTGGAAGCAGACCCAGCTGGAAAAGCAGCCTACCCCACAAAGGACCCCTCAGGAATGAAGCCGCTTTTTCAGGTTCAGAGGCGCTGTGGGCTCTCCTGCTCTTCTTAAATAGTCAGGCCTCCCTCCTCCAGCTCCAAGGAGTCCACCTGGAGCACCACCCACGGCCGGCTCACCGCTCGCCTGCCTCCCGTCCTTGCCCTCCTGGGTCATCTGCAAGAGGTAAGGGGCAGGGGTGGGCAGGAAGGGAGGCTGGGTGGAGGTGACAGTGGAGACACCCTGCAGTCACACAGGGCCCTGAGCTGTGTAACAATTTCCGTGATCCTGAAATTCTTACTTTTTAGAATTATTATTATGCTTTAGAGTCATGGCTTAGGCTGGTCTTGAACTCTCTAACGGAGGATGACCCTGACCTCTTGCCCAGCTCTCAAGTGTTGGGATTACACTCTCAACCACACCCAGTTTTTGTACTAGGAGTGGAACCCAGGGCCTCCTGCGTACCGGGCAAGCACTCTACCAGCTAAGCTACATCCCCAACCCAAATGCTTACTTTGGGAGCAAGGAGTTATGCATTTTCATTTGACTCTGAGCCCCCCAAAGTTAGGTAGCCAGTCCTGGCAAAGCCCCACAAAAGCCAATGGGCAACTCCAGTGTATGTAATGTGATGAGCCCCACTCCCAGCTCTGGCCACGGGGGTCCCCTAGGCTCCCAGAGGTGAAACTGGATCCTGGAAGATGCAGGACTCCCCTCATACCCCAGCCGGGGCTGTGGAACACCTCGCCTTGGAAGGGACTCCCTGCTGGTCTGAGGTCCTGCAAAGGTTTCCTAAACCCAGCTCTCACCCAGAAAAGCTGGTCAAAATGGCGTTGACCCGCTAAGTGTGGCAAAGTCCAGAGATCCTGGGCTTCTCAGGTGCCGTGGCAGACAGCATGTCCAGTGCAGCCCCGATGGAGCCCTGCTAGCAAGTGCGGGAGGAGCCAGACCGTGGGACAAAAAGTAGTGACATATTGCTCCTTGCAGACCAGGCCAACAGGTCAGAGTTGGGACTCTGGGACTCAGAGTGGTGGGTGCCAAGTACCTGGCTCTTAGCAACAGACCCTACTTACTCACCCATGGGGAGTGGGGCTTAAGGGACCCCTTCCACAATGCCACCCCTGCCTTGGGGTGAGGTTAGAAAAGAAAAGAAGGGCTCAGAAGCCCAGACCATCAAGCTGGATCCCCTCTCCCTCCAGTACTAACTCATCCACCCTCTAAGCTGAGGGATAGGCACAGTACAGAAAGTAACTTCCCGGTTCTGGGTCTTCCAGAAATTGCCCCAGGCCCTCCTACTCACAGGGAAAACCAAGCCTCCGTTGGATTTGGACTGAGATTGAGGTTCAAAATGCCTGAGGCTCAGCCAGCTCCAAAGGACGCAGAAAATCCCCCAGACACAGGAGTCCCCCTTGGTAGCTCAGCAGCTATGACAAGCTTAGAATAGCTCCGTTCCTCTCCAGTTAGTGACGGGAGACAATGAAGGCGTCAGAGGTCCTGCCTCTGACCTCGGGGTGCATCCTGGGATCCCACAACTGGTTCCGTATTCCCTCCAGCTCTGTTCTCCTGTTCTGCTTTTAGCCCCAACATGAATGGCCTGGAGACGGCCCCACCGAGCCTGGCTGACAACTCCTCCCTGGCTTACTCTGAGCAATGTGGACAGGAGACCCCACTAGAGAACATGCTCTTCGCTTGCTTCTACCTTCTGGATTTCATCCTAGCCTTTGTGGGCAATTCCCTGGCCCTGTGGCTTTTCATATGGGACCACAAGTCAGGCACCCCGGCCAACGTGTTCCTGATGCATCTGGCTGTGGCCGACCTGTCCTGTGTTCTGGTCCTGCCTACTCGGCTGGTTTACCACTTCTCCGGGAATCACTGGCCATTTGGGGAAATCCCATGCCGGCTCACTGGCTTCCTCTTCTACCTCAACATGTATGCCAGCATCTACTTCCTCACCTGCATCAGCGCCGACCGGTTCCTGGCCATCGTGCACCCAGTCAAGTCCCTCAAGCTCCGAAGACCTCTCTATGCCCACCTGGCCTGTGCCTTCCTGTGGGTGGTGGTGGCTGTGGCGATGGCCCCACTTCTCGTGAGCCCACAGACCGTGCAGACCAACCACACAGTGGTCTGCCTGCAACTGTACCGGGAGAAGGCCTCCCATCACGCCCTGGCCTCCCTGGCGGTGGCTTTCACCTTCCCCTTCATCACCACCGTCACCTGCTACCTGCTGATCATTCGCAGCCTGCGCCAGGGCCCCCGCATAGAGAAGCACCTCAAGAACAAAGCTGTCCGCATGATTGCTATGGTTCTGGCCATCTTCCTCATCTGCTTTGTGCCCTACCACATCCACCGCTCGGTCTACGTGCTTCACTACCGCGGCGGCGGCGGCGGCGGCGGGATGTCCTGCTCTGCTCAGCGTGCCCTGGCCCTCGGGAACCGCATCACCTCGTGTCTCACCAGCCTCAACGGGGCCCTGGACCCTGTCATGTACTTCTTCGTGGCTGAGAAGTTCCGCCACGCCTTGTGCAACTTGCTCTGCAGCAAGCGGCTGGCGGGCCCACCTCCCAGCTTTGAGGGAAAAACCAACGAGAGCTCCCTGAGTGCCCGATCCGAGCTGTGAGCCTTGAACTGTGAGCCTTGAGCTGTAAGGAGGTCCTGTCACCAGGCCAGCTGTAGACTGTTGTAGGAGGACCAGCTCTCCACTGGGGCCCACGCTACCAGGGCCAGCTAAAGAAGTCTATGTTCCCTCACCACTTCCTGAGCAAATAAACTAACATGTCAGCAGCTCTTGCCCTGCTCCAAGGTCTTAACGGCAAGGCCATCCAGTCTGAGCAACTCCACCAAGAGGCGGGGGCAAACTACAGGATGCCCTGCCCACCCTTCCACAGGGACTGGGTTGGCCTGCCTTATTTACAGCTCCCAGACACTCAGTGACTTCACTGGTACTAAATAGGGAAGGGAGCCACAGGGACATTTCTAGAACAATGGAGATCTTTCTTCCCCACGAAACATCCAGCTTCCTTCATACTGCAGATGCCCACAGCAACAAAGCCCAACAGAATAACCCAGAAAGCAAGCTGCCCAGGACCCCGAAAAGGAAGCAGCACTAATCTCAATGGAACTAGAGGGGCGTCTAATATTTCCTTTGAAGTGCATGGTATATCGCCTATCCCTACAGAGTCCTTGCCTGCCCTGGGAGATGATCTCATTCTGAGCTTGGGGGACACAGACTCTCGGATAGCCACACATGAGTACATTTCAGACTGACTGCAAGTGAGTCCAGCAAACACAGCTCTGAACTCCCCTGCTGTAACCCTGTTCCCACATCTGCCTCTAGCCTGACAACGTCTGGAGTTTCGCAGTAGAAGGTGGCCTGGTCAGGCATATGGCATAGATGGACAGCCATTAGAGCCCGCTGCAGGCAGGGACCCAGGTTCATGAACCTGTCCCCAGCTCACTCAAACCCAGAGTGGGGCATTTCCACTCCCTCCCAAGAGGCTTCTGCCAGCCTGGGCTGCCTGGCTTTGAACTGTTGAACTTGTCAGCATGTGTTGACCATGCTCATGTATCCTTTTTGTACTTGTTTGTATGACTCCTAAACATAATCGAGCCTTAAGGAAAAGGAAATTATTATGCTAACTCAACCTGACACATGATGTCTTCCCCTGAAATTCTCTTCCCTTCCACCCAAGAATGACCAAGTAAGGCAATGTCTCCCTTATTGTGGTTTGGGTGGCCCCGTGGTATGTCTGCCCCGGGCAGACCTGAAGCCATGCATCATGGAGTTTCAAGTGCCATTCTAGGTTGGAAGGGCTCTCAAACTTAGCCCTCCAACCACACCCTCCCCATCAACAGAGAAACCCTCTATTCTTCTATTACATTTTGTCTTCCAAATGGATACTGCTTCCAAGCATGGGGTAGTGGCCTGTGCATGGCTCATCTCAGAAAGAGCACAGCCCGGACTGATGCCCCTCATGCTCAGTGTTACTTCTCACCAGTACAGGTCTGTCCGCCCTGGTGGTCCCTCACCAAGACAGCCTGCTGAATACAAGACCATGGCACCCTTACAGATGCCAGGACCGGGATGAGGTCATGTGCCCCTCCAGCGGCATAGCAAAGCGACAAGATCACTGTAGGCTGAGACAGAGGGGCTTTGACGGAGGACCAAGTACCCAGACAGGAAGCACAGTCTCGTGGGAAGCTGGAGGGTCTCTGGAAGGCAGCAAGGCCTTTTCTGGCACAGGGGTTGCAGAAGCAGACTTGGGTCAGAGGAGGAGAAACTTGCAGCTCTATTTGGGACCTGTTGTGTTGAAATCTCAAATGGAGATGCCACCCAGGCAGGGGAACTGAGCAAAGGGGAGATCTGGAGGAGACCCCTGGATAGTCCAGATGTGCTGTTGAGAGACCCAAGACTTCATCTTCAAGGGTGGGTACAGACACAGGCCCGAAGAACATCTCTGTACAGAGAGAGGCTGGAGGAAGCTAGCACAGGACAGAGGTCTCACTGGGAGAGGAGGCGGTTTAGGCAGGAGGGCCCTGCTGTGAGACCACTGGAGGTCAAGGAGAGGACCTGGTGGGATACCCCGGCTTGTCCTGAGGTGTAGAGAAGGTCAACAGCTATGCTCTGAAGGACTTTGGGGCCCAAAGGTGTCGCTGGGAGCTCCCCCAAGGCTTCCCCATGCAGGTGGGAGATGAGGTCATGGCTGCAGGGGAGGTGTAGAACCCACAGCGAGGGAAGCAGAGATGAGAAGAAAGAATAAGGCTTCTTGGAAGGGGAATTACCAGAGTACCAATGAAGTTTACAGTTCTGAATTTAGAGTAAACCTGGTTAAGGACCTTCTGTCCGACATCCTCCAGCCACGTGCATACAGGGAGGAAGGCAGACAGCTGGCGTCAGCATGGTGTGGGAGCAGCAGGTGGGGTGTCAGGGGTCATAGTGATTTGTGAACTTAAAACTCCTCATCCATCCATAGCCACTCAAGAATCCTCATGCCTGCTGTCCCCAGAGGAGCCCCCTGCTCAGAGGAAGCCCCGTCTGTCCTCACCCTTCTACCCCATCTTTATCCATGCCTTGGGGACTGTGTTCTCCATCTAGTAGGGGTAGAACAAGGTTCACGGCCAGGTCCGCCCAGGACACTGCAGAGCCTGGAAGGTGCCTGGTACCTCGCTGGACCGTGGCTCTTAGAGTGGGGGCAAGAGACCCGCCTCTCTGCCCACAACTGCGGCTGCCTCACCTGCCTGCATTCTTCACAAAGCCCAGGTCAGCCAGCTCCACGTCACACAGCTCACAGCGGAAGCAGCCTGGATGCCAGTTGGTGTTCATGGCCTTGATCACGCGCCCAATAACAAACTCACCTAGAAGAGGAGAGACCTCAGCTGTCAGTCAGGGCACGCCCCACCCTTCGGCACCTCCCAAGTCCTTATGTAGCCTGGGGCTCCTCCCAGTTTAGCCTTGTCCAAGCACCCCTCCTTTAGGGGCCTGAAGAGCAATGCTCACTCAGAGAGACAGAATGAGGTGGTGAGTAAAAGTCCCCAGGTTAAGTAGAGTGCCAGTATTGCCACCCCCCACCCCCCACCCCACCCCACCGCGCTTCCCAGGTGGCGTCACCAGCTCTTACCACAGAATCCGCAGCATGGGGCAAACAGCATTTGGAAGTCATGCTCGCAGTACTTCCGGCCCTCGAACTGCAAATGGGGCCACAGACAAAAGACAAGCAAGTCATTCATCATCTCCACAGTCCTTTGCTCCTAATACATAATGAGGGAATGGGGTCCAGAGAAGCGAGCCTTCTCAAGCTAGCTGGAGCAGGGGACTGGCCCGTGCAGTTTAGCAGAGTGCAAAGTGAGTGTTTCACAGAGATGCTGCGGGTCCCAGGCTGCTCTTGGGGATTCTGCTGTCTGTTGAGGACCCGAGGATGCTGACTGCAGGCCAAGTGGAGGTGGGAGCTGGGGCTGGGGGAGAACAGGTCAAATCTGAGTCACATGTGCCGCTTTGTCCTCCATAGCTGACCAGGTCAGTGTCCCTGGAGACTGTAGAAGGCCCATAGCGGGAAGAGGGAAGAAAGAGAGCACAAGCAGGGCCTGAGGAATGGGGGTGATAAAGAAAAGCACCCGAGTGCTGCGGTCAGCGGCTGTCATGTATTGTCTCCAAGCGTGACCAAAGCTTGCCTCAACCTTCCTCTCCCTTAACAATTTACTTTAAAAATAAAAAATAAAATCTGGGCCTGGGGCTGTAGCTCAGTTTGTAGAGGGTCTGCATACCATGCAGGAAACCCTTGCTTCTGTTCACAGGACTGCATGAATAGGGTGTGGGGGTGCCTGTCTGTAATCCCAGCACTTGGGAGAGGCAAGTCGGAGGGACCAGAAGTTCAAAGTCATCCTCGATAACTCCCTTCTCCTAAAACTGTACATGCAGCTCTCCCAGTGAGCCAGAGAAACTGCAGAGGCTTGAACTCCCTCAGCAGCAACATCTCCCCAACACCCACTGTGTGCATGGCTTGGTTCTGGTCTAAAGCCCTCAGAGAGCTTCTCCCCAACGCTCTGCTGCCTCTACAGGCGGCCAGCATCTCTCAGGAGCCTGGGAAGCAAAAGGAGATCCTCATCCGACATGCGGGCCGCATACCCACACCAGTCAATGCCGCGATGCCGTCAGCCCCCCGAAGAGAGCACTCCTCCCCCCCCCCCGAGTCCTGGTCCCCCCTCCACTCCCGCCCAGTGGAGCGCTGTCAGTGTTTAACCGACTCTGGGGAGGGGGGCAATGGAGGCCCCGACTCTGGGTCTGCCAGATGCCGTGGTGTGAATCTCACTGCCAGGCTGGGACCATTCCGATGTCACAAGTGGTGCCGCATAGGCAGAAATAATCTCAGACACATAAACGACGTGAAAGTCTAATGAAATAATGGGAAGTAGGACATTTTAATTATTTGTTATCTTCATTTCTTAATAAAGTACTATACCCCTGTATACTGATATGGTTTACTATGTGTGTGTTTATGTGTATGTGGGTGCACCCCACCCTTTTTGGGAACAGGGTCTCTCACCAGCCTGTGATAGGCTCAGCAAATAGGCTAGACTGACTGGCCTGTGAGCCTCAGGGACCCACCTGTCTCTCTGCTTTCCCAGTGTGGGATTCCTGCACAAGCCAATGTGCCCTGTTTTTTTTACATTGGTTCAGGGGATTCAACGCAAGAGCTCATGATGTGAGTCGAGCACTCTGATGACCAAGGCATTTCCTCTGCCAGCCCGTGCATGAGTTACTTTTTTAACAACAGCCATGTTTAGAAAGGACTTAACTACTTGCTCTTGTGAGCTGGCGTGGGCAATTCAGGGCCCTTGACTTTGATCTGAACTATCTCCATACTCAATGACCCCACTCCTGGTCTCACCTGGTACCCCAGCTTCTCTCCCAGCTGGCTCCCAGCCTCTGTATGGCACATTGCCCGGGGCCTCTCTCTGTCTTCCACTTTGTTTTTGAGACAGTCCCATTACATAGCTTCCCAGGATCTGGTGTTACAGGCGCATGTCACATGCCTTGAACCAGAGGGGTCTTCTTCACGTGTTAAACAATGGTGTGACTCCTCTGTTCCAAACCCAAGTGGCTCCGATCTCTTACAGAAAAGTTCAAGACCCCAAAGGAGAGCCGCTAAGATAGAAAGATCGAGTCTCTGTCTGCTGCCTGCCACTCTCCGGCTCATCCCCAGATTTCACTTCTGCCACACCAGCCTCTCCCCAGATTTCCCACACGCTTCCACTTCAGTACATATGCTGTGCCTTCTGCCAAGATCTTCTCCTGCAGAGGAGTGTGTGTGTGTGTGTGTGTGTGTATGTGTGTGTGTGTGTGTGTGTCCCTTCTCTTCCGGCCTCATCAAACATCACCTGGTTACCCAACTCCAACCACGAGAATCCTTATTTCTAAAGCACCCTCACTAGATAATGGAATCACTCCGCCATTGCGTTTACTATCTGACCCAGTGGAGAGCAAGCACCATGGTGGGGTTCTTCCTACTCCGGGACCCACCCGGAACCTGTCCAGGGGAGTCTGCTGACTCCAGAAGTTCCCTGGTGAGGGATGGGCCAACACCATGCGTGACACTCAGCTCTGCTGCCTCGGAGCTTGGCCAGGTCACGGAGCCGCCACGGACTCTTCAAGAACAGGCTTCTACCCGGAGCCTCCTCACCTCGTAGAAGAGCCCCTCGGGGAAGGGGCGGAAGCACTGCGCGCACACAAAGCAGTGCTCGTGGTACAGCTCCCCATTGCTGTTGACGATGCGCTCTGTGGGGGCAAACCGGGCCTGGCAGCGCTGGCACAGGGCATCGGCCAAGCATTCAGACATGTTGCTAGAGGGGACAGAAGGAGAAGAAAGAAGGTCAGCGCTGGGCAGCAGACTTGCAGGGCTGGCCCAGGGACATATATCCCTGCTTCAAGCGCTCAGGTGGATCCAACCTTTAACGGCGGCGACAGACACGGCACAAGGTTGTAAGCGTCCTTAAAACGTGAAATTGTGTATGTGTGGGTACATGTGGGGGGGGGGAGACACCTGCAGGGCTGCAAGCCAGAGGGCGACCTCAGCCGTTGACCCTCAGGCACCATCCACGTATTTTTGTGGCGGTATCCCTCACGGACATGGGACGCACCAGGTAGGCTAGGTCGGCTGACTAGCAGGCACCAAGGATACACCTGGCTCTCTCTGCGTCTCCCCACTGTGCTGGGATATAAGCCCATGTCTGCACACCATAACCTCCCCACCATGATGCCTGGCATATCTAAAGCCATGTGCTGGTTAGATTTTGTCAATTTGACACGGACTGGAAACACCTGGGAAGAGGGAATCTCACCTGAGGAATTGCCTCCATTAAACTGGCCTTGGGAATGTCTAGGGGGCATTTTCTTTCTTTCTTCCTTTCTTTCTTTCTTTCTTTCTTTCTTTCTTTCTTTCTTTCTTTCTTTCTTTCTTTCTTTCTTTCTTTTTATTTTTCTTTATTAAGAAATTTTCTACTCACTCCACATACCACCCACAGATCCCACCTCCTCCCTCATCTCACCCCCCAGCCCTCTCTCCCAAGCCACCCCACATCCCCACATCCCCCAAATCAAGGTCTCCCATGGGGAGTCAGCAGAGCCTGGCACACTGAGCCTAGGCAGGTCCAAGCCCCTTCCCACTGCACCAAGGCTGCACAAGGCGTCACACCACAAGCACCGATTCCCAGAGGCCTGCCCATGCACCAGGGATGGATCCTGACCCCCCCTGCGTGGGTGCCTAGGGGGCATTTTCTTAACTAATGGTTCATGAAGGAGGGCTCAGCTCATGGTAAGTGGTCCTGGGTTTTTAAGAAAGCAGCTGAGCCAACCATGGGCAGCAAGCCAGTGAGCAACTCTCCTTAGTGATTTCTGCCTCAGCTCCTGCTTGAGGTCCAGGTCCTGCCCTGACTTCCCTCAAGATAGACAGTGATCCAGTGTGTAAGCCAAGCAAACCCTTACTTCCTCAAGTGGCTTTTGGTCAAAGTGTCCTAGCATGGAGACAGAAAAAGACTCTGACACACTGTGAGCAACGTAAACTCTTCCGCTCCTGAGTAGTAATTTTGTCACAGGGGGAAAAAGCTAACACACAAAGAAGCAAAGACTTCTGCGAGGAAGGGGAGACAGGGGCATGGCCAGGAAGACAAGGGCTCTAGGCTCACTCCACACAGTTCAGTCCTGACAGCTCCAGCCAGCAGCTGCTGGATCTGGAAGAAAGCAGGGGCCTTTCTGTGTTCAGTCAGTGAAGTGTTTGCCACACAAGCCTGAAGGCCTGAGTTCCAGACCCAGAGTCCCCCACACCACACACACCCAAACACACATGCATGCATGCACACAGGCACACACACACACACACATGCATGCATGCACACAGGCACACACACACACACACACAAAGTCAAGCGTACTGACACCCACTTAGAGCCCCAGTGCCAGGGAAGCAGAGACAAGCACGTCTCTGCAGCTCACTGGCCTGCCAACCTAGCCTACCTGGGTGAGAGCCAGGGAAAAGTGAGACATTCTCTCACCAAAAAAAAAAAAAAAAGGTGGAGATCTGGGGAGATGGCGCAGTGGGTAAAGCCACTTGCCACATTGCTACGCAACTCTGAGGACCAAAGTTGGAATCCCTGGAATCATGCAAAAGACAAGGACAATATGTCAAGTGTCTGTAGTCCTTGAGTTCCTGTTGGGAGGTGGGACAGGAGAATTCCCAGAAGCTTGCAGGCCAGCTAGGCTGATGTGCCCAAAGTGGAAGGTGAGGACCAATACCCAAGATTAAGGATGTAACAGCACATTCGTACCCAGTCCAGGGCTAAGCAGATCTCAAACGGCATGAAGAGAACTGTCATTGTACTGTAGCTCTGGGTGCTTTCAGAGCTCACCAGCTGTGACCAGTCCAGGGAAGGCCTGTGGCCTCCTGTACTCCCTGCCAGAGGGCAGAGGGTCGGAGATGGATGGACATTCCATGCCCTCCTTCACACAGTCAGCCCTAGAGCAGCCTGTCCAGCTATCCTCTGAGGAGACAACCAGGCCCCACCCTCAGAGCACAGAACCAAACCCAGAGCTGAGCATGCGTACCACCCTGCTCTCTTTCCTCAACCTTCACCCGCAGCGCTCCAAACGTTCATACTCGGGACAGATGACACACGCTAAACTATCACAAGACATCCCTAAGCTTATAGGGGAGTCTGGGATGAGACGGGGGATTCTCTCTGCTCCAAAGACACTAAAGCACAGCGGTGGAGGCCTGCTGAGGATCACCTGGGACTAGACATGGCTCTTCCTGTCCCCTTATCTCCCAGGGCGTCACACAGGTCTGGCCACCCCAAACAGTTTCTTCCTCCACTCCAATCCCTGCACATGAGTGAGGGGGCCTGGGAAGAAGGATGATGGGATTTCTTTAAAAGTTCTTCTGGTATAAAATAAAAAACAATCAGACCACAGCCCATAGAACCATAGAGGCTATATATATAGTATGGAGGTCCCTAGGACGACTGTGGCTTATAATAAATTTCGGTTCTACTCAATTATTGAAAAAAAAATAGCCAAATGAATGGAAACACATGAACTATGAACCAAAGGCTGAGGGGTCCCCAGCTGGATCAGGCCCTCTGAATAGGTGAGACAGTTGATTGGCCTGATCAGTTTGGGAGGCAACTAGGCAGTGGGACCAAGTCCTGTGCTCATTGCATGAGTTGGCTGTTTGAAACCTGGAGCTTATGCAGGGACACTTGGCTCAGTCTGGGAGGAAGGGACTGGACCTGCCTGGACTGAGTCTACCAGGTTGATTGCAGTCCTCGGGGGAGGATTTGCCCTGGAGGAGGTGGGAATGGGGGGTAGGCTGGGGGTAAGGGGAGGATGTGGGAGGGGGGAGAATAGGGGAACCCGTGGCTGATATGTAGAACTGAATGGTATTGTAAAATAAAATAAAATTTAAAGAGAGAGAGAGAGAGAGAGAGAGAGAGAGAGAGAGAGAGAGAGAGAGAGAGAAAAGAAACAGCAATATTGGTCAAAGCCAGCCTATCAGGGGGACTCAGAAAATGGAGATTAAAAAGAATATCTAGAATTCAAAAAAAAAAAAGTTCTTCTGGAACTTGGCATGGTGGCACACCCCTTTTAATTCCAGCACTTGAGGGGAGCAGAGGCAGGTGGATCTCTGAGTTTAGGTCAAATTGGTCTATACAACGAATTCCAGGCTATCCAGGGTTATGTAGTGACACTCTGTCTAAAGCAAAGGGTTTTTTTTTTCTTTTCTTTTTTTCCATTTGTTTATTTATGGTGTGTGTGTGTGTGTGTGTGTGTGTGTGTGTGCGTGTGTGTTCCTGTACCTTGTCTCCATGTATGAGGCTCAGAGGACATCCGGCAGGAGTTGGTTCTCTCCTTCCACCATGTGGGACCCAGGGACTGAACTCTGGTCATCAGGTTTGGTGGTAAATGTCTTAGCCAGATCTTGAACCTGATCTTCCTGTCTCTACCTCCTGAGTGCTGAGAATCAACCCAGAGCTTCATGCATGCTAGGAAAGTACTCTACCAACTACATCCCTATCCCATGCATCAAAGTCCTGCGAACTTTAGTACCCTCGTCTGTAAAATGAGTCCAACATCGACTGTCTATAAAAGGCAATGCCCGCTGGAGAATCTGTGTTTCGCACAAGCTACTTCCTGCCTCCGCCACTGGGTCTTTGCTGAGTGTCTGCACTATTTCAGGCACGAGCCAGGTTCAGGGTAAAGAGAGGCTCCCTGTGCGGCAGGCACAGTCTAAGGTTCCAGTGGAAGCTTCCTCCCACCAGCCGCGGCCAGCTCGGGACCGATTTGGCCTGTCTCCCTGGCCACATCAGCATCAGAGGCCACCGGGCTGCACACAATAAACAGGGTTTGACACAAAGACGGCCCTGTTCCTCATCATGTGGCTACTGGGAAATTAACACGCTGCCTTGGACAGCTGTGCACAGGATGCATTTTCACCATCAGAAACATATTCCAGGAGCTGAGGATGTGGCTCAGTTAGCAGAGTACTTGCCTTGCATGTAAGAAAGTCGTGGACTGGATCCTTAGCTCTGCGTAATACTGGGTACGGCGGCTCACCCCTGTAATCCCAGAACCGAGGAAGTGGAGGCAGGAGGATCAAGGTCATCATTGGTGACATAGCAAGTTGGGGGACCTACCTGAACTACGTGAGACCCTGTCCAAAATGGAAAAAGAAGAAAAGCAGAAGGGAGAAGAGTGTGGAGAAGTGGGAAAGGGCGAGGGGGCGTGTTCCTATCCGAATCTCCAAATCCATCCAAAACCTGTCAGAGCTAACACCCCTTTGGTCCAGGGGCTCGCTTTCCTTTTATCAAGAGCAGTTCAAGCATGCCACACCTGTCACAACAGAGAACTGGCATGAAGCATGAACCAGAAGTTCAAAGAAAGCCAAAAGCAGGCGTTGCATAAACGTGTGTATGCACATTCCTGGGATCTTGCTGGAGCCTAAGTTTCTGTACGGAGCCCACATCCCTCCTTTGTGCCTTGGTCATGTTTTCTGTTATCTCCACCCTGAGGTCACTCTCAGTTCCCTGGTCCCCTGTACCCCGGCCCTGCAGTTCATACCAGACACAACCAAAGTTGACCTGGGAGGGCGCCATTCCAGTTGGCCACATGCAGGTGAACCACAGGTCCCTACCTGAGCAATGGGATTGCCTAGGCCTGTGCTGGCCTGTGCTGGGCCCCTGAAGAAGAACCAGCATACGGCAGTCCCTTTGCAGATAACCCCTGATAGGAGATAACAGCTGAGTCAGCGCTGCCTCCCCAGTGCCTTCCCGCTGCCTCTGTTCTCGGCCAA